CAGTGATGGCTAACTGAGCAGTGCATGGCCTGACTAGCAGTGATGCGCTTGACTAGCAGTGTATGCTGACTATGCAGTGCATGGGTGGGACTAAGTGCAGTGGATTGTCTGACTAGCCAGTGGAGGTCTGTGTTTTTTTTTCACTGAGCCCAGTGTATGGCTGACTAGCGAGTGGATGGCTGGACTAGCCAGGTGGATGTCTGACTAGCAGTGTCATGGCCTGAACTTATGCAGTTGGATGGGGCCTGACTAGCGAGTGATGTGATAGCAGTGAATGTCTGACTAGCTCAGTGATGGATTGACTAGCAAGTGATGCTAACTAGCTACGTGGATCGGTCCTCACTAGGCTAGTTGATGGGCTAGCGAGTGTATGGTGACTAGCCTGACGGTGATGTGGCCTGACTTAGCCCAGTTGATGTCTGACTAGCATGATGTCTGACTAGCAGTGATGGGCCTGAACTAGCAGTGATGGGCTGACTAGCAGTGATGTGGCTGACTACCAGTGATGGGCTGACTAGCAGCTGATGTTCTGGGACTAGCAGTTATGTCTTGACTAGCAGTGGATGTCTGACTAAGGCAGTGATGTGTGACTAGCAGTGGGATGGATCTGGACTAGCAGTGATGCTGTAGACTAGCATGTGATGTCGCACGCACGCACGCACGCACACGCGCGCGCACGCACGCACGCACGCACGCACGCACACGCGCGCGCACGCACGCACGCACGCACACACACACACCCACACACACACATGCGTACGCACACACGCGCTGTCATCTTAGCCCCTCCTTTCCATCTCTCTTTCTCTCTCGCTCTCGTTCTCCCTCTCTTTCTATCTCCATCTATCTCTCCCTTGTTTGCTTTCTACACCGCCCTGCTTCCTCTGTCCGCGTGCACGGGAAGCTTGGCAGAGACGTGATCCAGCTGCTAATAGTATACATGCCATCATGCCATGACCACACACACACATGCGTACGCACACACGCGCTGTCATCTTAGCCCCTCCTTTCCATCTCTCTTTCTCTCTCCCTCTCGTTCTCCCTCTCTTTCTATCTCCATCTATCTCTCCCTTGTTTGCTTTCTACACCGCCCTGCTTCCTCTGTCCGCGTGGGAAGCTTGGCAGAGACGTGATCCAGCTGCTAATAGTATACATGCCATCATGCCATGGACACAAGCGAATGTAGTGAGCGGCTGTTCTCAAGCGCGATGTGACAGATATGACAGATATGTGACAGATAATGTGACAGATATGGCAGTAGAGCAGCAGGCGAGCGCCGTCTGTGTCGACGATGACATAGGCAATATGTAGCAGACGATGTGAGTTCACAACATGTGCGATCCAACAGAGCGGAACAGAAATTTTTACAGGCAAGCGAGACACGAGACGGCAAATTTTTTTCCGTCAGCTGGGATTCATCTGTTCGACACATGCATCTCTGGCGAATTTTTGGGCTCTTTATATGTCGTCTCCCCCCCCCCCCCCGCTATGGTGTCTGTCACACTGAGGTGTATATAATAACATAATGAGTGTCATCACATAGACACATATCTACACATAATCGATGTCTACATATCTACATGTCTACATCTATATCTACATGTCTATCATAATATGGTCATATCTATATTATCAAGAGCGTATAAAGAAGGGTCTTCTTTATACGCTCTTGATATTATGACATTCTTGATAAGATATTGTTATGTTATTATATATAGATCACTAGACTGTCCAATAGTGTCGGATCTGTGAATGACAGTTGCGCGAATATTTCCCGAAATTTTATCGACATGATTGCACATGCTTTAGTGGTTAGTGCAATATGTGGCTGTGTCATCATGTGTGTGAGTGTGTGTGTGATACAATGCCGTTAATAACACACTATAATATAATTCACTTAATATAATAATATGTAATTCACTGGCTGCTTTGTTGTCGGTGAGTCGCGGAATACGGTGAACGTTAGCAATTCGGACCCATGCGTTTATTAAGAAAATGAATAGTAAAACAGCTGTATTAGCAAGGCGAGAAAGAGTGAGAGAAGGAGATCTCTCTAATCCCTGATGCCACGTTAGACTGTTGAGGCAGGTAGCTATAATGGTCTTTGATAAGCAAAATTGCAACAAAAAAAACAACGTTGGCATTTCGCATGCATGCAGCATAGATTTTGCGAGTGCTGGTACAAATATCGAGGTTTAAAATATTGATGTTTTGTCAGAAAAAAAGCTCGATGTGTGCAAGCAAAGGACTATATAATATTATACGGACAGGAGAGTGGGGAGCTTGTCAGCTTAATCGTTCTGCGATAGTTGAATACCAGAATACAATACAGAATGTAATACCAGAACCACGAACGCCTATGATTGATTACATTTTGATATTGCACCCATGAGGTGCTACTCCTCCGGGGCTCCACATTAGCTCTGTTCAGCGCCGGCTTACTGTATGCGGCCTTCACTTAATTATTGTCATGAAATTGCATATTTACCTGTCTGCTTGCATGTCTATCTAATCTTGATCTAATGAATATAGGGTGCTAAAATATGAGTCCCTTCCGCCATCTAGTGAGTAGAATTGTCAATAAAAAGATTACATTGGTATTGAAGTGGTTAAAACAAATTAATCCCTCCCGCCATCTAGTGAGTAATATATTATTAATAAAAAGATTACATCGGTATTGAAGTTCTGCTTTTCACCTACTCTGGACATATATATATGTCATATAAGATGATTATTTATCTCTCAACTACTCTGGAAATATCAGTGATACTAGATGCTGTGACATGTTAGGCAGTATAAACCAGATACAACACTTTCGACAATTCACCATGTCAGGGTTCATAGTAGTAAGACACATGTTGAAATAAGGACTTATAAGACCCTTTCTGGAGGCCAAAATAAGACTTTTTTTTACGCGATTTCTGATAGATCACCGACTATTAAAGTACACTAATAATATTTATATACACAATTGCACAGCAGATGTCACCGAAATTCAACACAGAAAATGTTGAAAAATGGTCCTTTGGCAAAAAATAAGGACTATTAAGTACTTTTCTAAGATTTCACCAAAAATAAGTACTAATAAGGGCCCTTATTTTATTTTTGGCAAAATAAGTACTTATAAGACTTTGGAAGACCCGCTACGAACCCTGCATGTCTTCAGGCTAAAACATTGTACATAAACATGTAAATTAGATGCAAATAAAAAGATAATAGAAGAACTGTACTTTTTCGCTATACAGGTTTTATTACAAATTACAATACACAGCAGACACCATGGTAAAAGTTAAACTTTCACTCCAATTGTTTGACCTACAAGGAGAGTTCGAGAAGGCAACATCGTACAGTAACCTGGATAATACCAGAAGTAGATAATAGGGAATATTCCCTATGATCTACTTTTGATAATACATACCAAGGCAGAATGTAAACAACACGGAAAGAGAGTATACGCACAGATGAAGCCCATTGTCCCTGTAGGTGCAGCCAAAGCTGGCCACCGCACAATTAATTGCAAGTAAAGCAGGCATGTATATTTACGACGTCTTACGCGTATCAATCACCACAATTTGCATGAGAAGTCGCTTCCAATTTAAAGTTGTACTACGAGTAGCCGTCACGCTATCATTCGTGGTTAGATAAAAGATTATTCCCACATCCCACAACTTTTCTTCATCGTATTGCCTTGGCCCACACTAATACTAACAGTTAAATGCATGCAGCAAAATATCTATAGAGATGATAAAGTACATGCCATTAATAATTCTTTCATTTTGTTTGTAGGGCATCCATCGTTAGTAACACTAACAGACACCACTGCTTTAGTTAAACTCCTTTACATTCACGCATACACTCAACAATGATGTAGGTGTAATCGGGAATTAAAATAACTGTCTGTAACTTTATATCTACTTGGAATAGACAGAATCAGAGAGTAACTGCAATAGGATAAAATGTGAACATTCTTACATTGCTAGCAATGTAAGCACCAACACAAGACCAAGCCCTGGAAGTCTAAATTATTACTTGACAACAAAGATAAGATTGCCCAAAAGGCAACAAACACATCAGCCCAGAATCAGCAGCCGATATACAAGCAGTCATGAACGAGACAGGAATTCTCCCGCTTCAATGTACATAGAATAAATACTAGTCAATTTTCATTCCCTCTCACGCCCCGCTCAAGAACTTCTGCCCGTCCTGCCCTTCTGCTGTTAAAAATATTTATGTACACAAGCAGGTCGATATATGGAAAGACAGTTAAACCAGAACTCTGCCGGCGTTAGCGATGTCTAGGCGTAAAAACTCACACGCGCACCGACAACGAAACTGATTCGGAAACGCTTCTAGTATTTAGCATGACACAACACCCAGTTCCACACACAGAGAGTATATCGCTCGGTTATACTCTCGCTTGGTGGCATCACAATCTCTTCAGCGTTCTCTTCTTGTCCTTCTGCTTCTTCTTATCGCCTAGCTTCTTGTCTCCCGCGTGTTTCTTCGCCATCGGCCCCTCCGAGGGCGCCTCCTCGAGGCCCTCCTTCGACGAGCGTGGCCGTGATGTTGCGTGAATCTCTGTCATCATCTTCGCACGCTTGCAGTACTCATCGTAGTGCTCTAACAGTAGCTTACCAGCCTCCTCGTTGAGCGCGGACTCCGGGTTCGGCACGATAAGCAGGCATTTTATGGTCTGCAATAGAAACGTGACCGGATAATCATTTCAAACCCGCCATAAATTGCAGAAACTTGGATTTCAATAACTTTTAGCATCAGCAATGCATCCTGGTATTTTCACATTTCATACATTTAGGTATCGGGCCATCGGCACATTCATTATCTACCATACCACACATGTATGCGGTAGTTTCATACCAGCGCGCTACTGTTAATTTCGAACCCTGTATGACCCTTACACATAATAGCAAAAAAGTATGGCAGAAGTCTATGATGTTAGATAGAGATTATCTGAAGCTAAAGTTATTATTACGAGTTTTGCTCAAAAACCCCCAATCCCCCAAAAATATAGCGAAATATACTCTCACCTCACAGCGGATATATCACTGATTACACCAGCATTAAAAACACTCAAATTTTAAGCAATTATAGCATATAGAAAATTGGATATGAACACATTGTAACAGCAATGCATTTTAACGTGTCGCTATAATGGCAGAATTGGTAAACTTGTAAATTGTCGGTGATTAACTGAACACAACTGCATTTGAGAGAGACTGTATGTCTATGGCAGATAGGCGGCGGCGCTCTTAGCTAGTCCAAGGCTACCGGCTCTAGTTTCAAGATTACAGCAAGATTGTTTACCAAACTAGTTCAAAAATTGCATGTCTTGGTGAATACAAGGGTTCTAAGACATTTTATCGTTACTCTAGACAATTGCTGTTACTCAAGCAATAACGGTAGGTATCATGAAAGTGGTGAAAACACTGGAAAACTCTGGTAATAATAACTCTCTCTCTAATAAAAATCTAGTTTAAATTTCAAGCAATTATGTGTGCACTGTGCACACGTGCAAACTACTCACCAACAAGATGTGCTTAATGCCTAGTTCAGCCTTCCAGTCTTTCTTCAAGGTATTCACACATATCTCGCCATTTTTCGCCACGTTTGGATGGAAAATTTTTGTGAGAAAGAAGCCCCGCGGAGGGACTTGAGGAAAATCTTTGCCGAGAGAGAGTTTTACTCTGAAATAGCCACCTGCATACGGTGTTCCAACTGAAAGAGGTAAGAAAGATTGTAAGCACATTTAAACTGAAATATGATGGCTTGCTTTGATTTAATATACAGTGATGTTGCGCAATGCAATCCAGAGAAAAATGACAGTAATACGAGAACCTGCAATGTATGGGACTGAGTCATGTTTTCCCATCAACTTCCATCATATAATTAGACATGCTTTCATATATTTACCTCCGCCCACGGAGTGGAGGAGGTTATGTGATCGCTCTCGTGTAGTGTGTTCGTGTGTTAGTGTGTTCGCGCGATCGATATTAGCGCGTCAGCGAGCCAGCCAGTGCAGCGACCGTGTACATGTGAGCGAGCAGCAGCAACGAGCGGCTGCTACGAGCGAGCGAGCAGATGTCGCTGGCAGAGGTATGCACTCTCCGTGAGTGCCCTCTGTCTAGTTCTAGCTGTGTTTACTTTTGACAATCATAACACAGTCATGCTGTTTTTACAGACGAATGTAGTATATATGTCTCTAAGCTGAACTGTAACTGAATAAGAGTACCTGTGTATTGGGGCCACTTATGGCATGCGTAATTGGCTCCAACTGTTACAACCCCCTCCCAGACTCTCCCCAGCTGTGTATAAACGACATGCTTTCTGACATTCCTGGGGAGAACCCTGCATCCACATGTTATATATTTCAAACGACTATTGTTCTGCAGTGCATCTAAACCAGCAGGGTTCGACACTAACGCTAGTCCGTTAGTCCGAGACTAGTAAAAAATCAGAAGGACTAGTAGATTCCCATAGCAGTTAGTCCGGCGAGACTAGTTATATTTTCCCCGTCCCTCACCGTCCCAATTTCCCATCGATTTTACCGGCGGCAGCGTCTCTCATCCAAGATCCAAAGAGCTATATATAACTCGTCCAAATTAACAAGTTTTCCCTGTTAGATGCCCTAGTCCAAGTAGAGTAGACGCTAGCACGCTCTAAGCATGCTGCTAGACCCTACGGCAGTACAAACATTGTTAAACAAGGGGGCCACGAACCCAGTCTACCAAGCTTGACAGTAGCTGTTGACATAGAACAAACGGTCTGATTGTAGAAATGACGCATTATACGCTAGACACAGTTATAGGCTCTCATAGGGAGGTATTTGCAACCACATGATCGCAACCACATCGCATGCGTGTGTTACTTGAAGCAGTCCATACAAATAGTAGTGAAGCTAATAGTAGGCACATCCTTATCCAATAGTATAATATACTAACATCCAGAGAGACCGGGTACAAGATGGCGTTGCGCAAAAGATGCGTTGTTCCCCGACCGCCAAGAGCGGTTAAACCGCGCACTTCCGCGGGACTGGGCGCACGCGACCGCGGTGTGTTGTATGTAGCATTTCGCGCTGCCCGCTATACGAATTCGCGCGCCGAAGGAGGGCGGGCGCGCAAATCCGTATAGCGGGAAGCGTAACATCGCGCAAGTTTCGTCAACCTACACCGGCTCGGCTGCAGCGGGCATTTTGCTGTTGGCTGCTTGCGCTGAGTAGGGTCCTATGTCCCCCGGCCGGTACTGCCGGAACGATTACCCTGGGGTACGGTCCGGGCTATACCGGAACGCTACCCTGGCACTATTCTAATATGGCCCCGGACCGTACCTCGGCCTACTCTCACTAACAAGTCTAGAGTCGTCTACGCCTATCTAACCCGAACCCGAACCCTAACCCTAATCCTAACCCTAACCGATATCAAATAGCTGACCAGGGTACGTTCCGCGTAATACCGGACGGTACCAGGAGTTACGTTCGCGGCCAGTACCTGCTGGGACATTAGACCCTTATGACGCGCTGCTTGCTTTTGTGCGCGCTGCGCCCGGCAGGGCCGGCGAAGTATTCTTGCTGATGGCTATCGTTTCGCCAGCAGTATCTACAGCATTAGCCTACGTGTAAATACTGGCCACGGCCACGCCACCAGCCGTGCTCGCGAAGATATTCGCCGGCCAGCGAAACTGTTTTTTCCCTCAAAACCCGGGTATAATCATCACAAACCGTAATAGTCGCCCTTCTGATTGGGTTGCCCTTCGAATTGCTCTTGCTTCTTACACAAAGAGAACTAAACGCCCATTTTGCTATAAGATTTTGTTTGGCGTTTGATGACGCCTATGATAGTACGTTTTCTAGATGTATTTTCGCATGAAAAAACATGATCCTTTTCCTCATTATATAACATTAATATCAACTATAATTGCAATTTCTTGTCGGCAAATGTGTTATTTTTCATCTCAATTCTTAAAGTTATGAGAGGTCATTGGGTCTCTCGTAAGGTATTTACTACGTACGTATTACACACACTCGGTAGTGGCTTCGCGGCAGGATCGAGGGAAGGAGCAATAGCCGGCTACGACCAGTTACTAGAGCTACGTACCGGTACTTATAGTAACTAGGCTACGACAGTACTAGAGCTATAGTACTCAGATCGTACTCGCGTTGACGCTAGTAGTAAGTAGTTACTATTTACGTGAGTAGTCCGTAGTCTCCTAGTGTTTAACCCTGAGGTTCAGCTTGAACAGTCCAAAACTAATCGGACCACGGCCGAAGCATAAACAGAAATTCGGCCAGCTTAACTTATAAGTATAAAGCATAGATCCTCCTCAGTAACTTAAGATTAAGCTGAAATAACCACATTCCACAAAGAAGTGCAATTATAGTAAGTATTATATGTTATTAAAATGAGTAAAATATGTTGTCTTGATCATGGAAATACATCAGAACACTTATACTTATTCTAGCGGCGTCATAAACACAAACACAACATTTACAACCAACGGCGTTTGTTCTCTTGCTTGAAGGTTTTCTGTCAGTCAAAGCAAATCAGTCAAGAAACAGCATGATATTTGGTTTACATATTCACATGAAACCATGGGTTTTAAAGGAAAACATACTATAAAACTACTTTAACCTCACTTACAGAACGTTCCGGGAAAGTTTTTGGTAGATAATGGGGTTTGGCTACAATAGTCATGGAGGCTGACATCTATGCCAAGTTCCATGCCATCAGAAGCGCCATCTATCCTCGTTTGGGAAAAACATTTCGCCGCCGGCCACGGCCAGCGTAGGTGCTCGCACGACGTGCCGTGCACGACAGGGCATGGGCGCGCGGTCAGGAGGTCGCTCAAACATGCGACGTACCAGCCAGGCGCCGTACGGCGGCGACGCATCGATTTGCGATAGCATGTAGACCCGCGCCACCCCGTTGGAGCGCCCGTCACGACACTTCTGTAAAAAGCTCTGTGATAGACAAAACTCTATACTCGGCAGTAGTGCGCCTGTCACAGGCGTAGCGGCCAACGAGCGAGCGTTGTCATCGCTGATTGACAGCATGTTCTTGAGGTTTCTTGTAGGATCAGCTACGTCTTAGGCCATGAAGGCGCGCCACCCCAAAAAAAGTTTAGGGCCGTTTGGAGATGGCCATCCTGCCGTCCATGCGGAAATGTCGGTTGGATTGCGCCCAAGGTTTTTCGCGTAGTGGCGGTTTCAGACCCCTGTCTCAGATATCTCTATAAGTGACTAAAAAGGGGGCGGCGTAATTCGCGTTGGGCGCGGCTTCGCCGGCGAGCTGTGCGCAAAAACGCGGGGCCGCAAGTCCGTCAAGGTTGTTATGTGTGAAGTATTTGGACAGGTGCCCGCGCCTACTACACTCCCAAACGTAAAGTCGCAGGAGGAGAAATTAGATGGCCAGCGTGTCTATGAATATAGATCGAAAAGGAGTTTGCGTGCGTTGCACACGCACGGCACGACAACGATACGCACGCGACGCCTACTGTGCACACGCACCCGACGCACGCGTGACGTGCACACGCACCCAGCGCCCAACGCGTGTACGTGCACACGCACAGCACGCCACGTAGTTACGTTGGCACGACGCACGCACACAACCGTGTGCGTGCCCACGCACAGCCGTCACGTGGTACGTGCAGCACGCACCCACAAGCACATACGTGTACGTGCCCTCGTACGCGGAGCACGTGTATCATTGCACACGGCTCACGCAGGCACAGGTACGTGCAACACGCACGGCCACGTGTACGTGCACACGCCAGCACTACACACACACACACATCCCACACACGATACGCGCGCAACGTTTAGCACGCACACAACACACGTTACGTGTTCCTATGCACAGCCACGCACCGTGTACGTGCCTACGCACGCACGGCGATGCACGGAAAGGGATGCGCCACGTGTACGTGCCCATGCCGCGCACGCAAACTACCGCTACGTGTGTACGTGCACAACGCACACCACGTGCACGTGTAATCGTGCAAGCAGTACAGCACGGACGCAACGCACACGACGTGTCGGCACATAGCACGCACTGCACGTGTACGTGCAGCGTACGAGCACACAACCCCACGCACGGCACACACGTGTGACGTGCACAAGTGCGTGTACCGTGCGGCTACGCCACGCCGACAGCACCCACGTGTACGTGCAATACGTACGTGTACAGTGTACGTGCAGAATCAGCTTCCGTCCCAGATGTTTTTTCAGCAGTCTGCTACTTTGCGACTCTGATTTACGGTTTTCTCGTCATTTACGGTTTTCGCCTCGTAACTAGACGGCCATTGTTTAAGCGATGATACCGGACATTACCACCAATTAGAACATACTGAACCGCCATTAGAAATGCACATGCTATTGGAAAAAACGGCAGGCCCTACAACGATGACGTCAAAGCTGTGCTTAGCTTGAGCAAGGCCAAACACCACATGGGTTTAGATGTCGGCAGCACTTACCTCACCGGACAAGGCCTGCCAGAGGTTGCTTACGGCGATAGCCCGATACAACGCCGGAAAACGTTTGTAGGCTTATAAATGAAGGCCAAATTTCTTGCTGTGATAAGTGACGGATCCACAGATTCCTCGTCAAAGGAGGCCGACATTATATTTTCGAATTAAAATTTTATTTAATTTAAGTTTTATGATCCATATCAAGTTAACATGTATTTAATAGCAAAGTTGGCAGTCCTTTTTTACAAAAACCTTTCTGGGGGACAACAACTTTGTTACCCTTGGGAGAGACGCCCCTTGTACCACTAGCAGAAGAGGGGCTCCACCCTCCTAACCCCACCTATGGCAAATAACAATGCTCGTCCGCTCTGACGCCTAGTAAAGAGTCCTTAGGCAGGACATAGTAGAATCTTGGAAGGACTAGTACATTTTTTGTATTACTAGTCCTGTGGACCTAAATGAACTAAAATGGTTGTGTCTAACCCTGACCAGGTTGTTATTTTCAAAACTTTGTAAAATTTGCAACACACCTGGTCCTGTCGATGATCGCTTGAATGTCGGTAACATCATTCCTCGTTTGGATAGATCGTAATGCCTTGCAGGGCTTGTGACACATCAGCTCTGACAGCTCGCCCTGTTGAATTCTGTCTGATGACATTGTGTGATAACATTTTCGAAGCATTTTTGGGACTCTATAAGGGTTTTGGAGAATACAATTGTTAATATCGTACAGACTAGATGTAATAAAGTCATATCGCGAATAAATTTGTGACAGTCATTTAAAGCTAGCGGATCAATATATTACAAATTAATCCTATCATATAGGTGGTATAGTAATAATCAGGCTCCAAAAAATTAACATTCTTGTCTGGTAGTGCCTACGAACTACGAGATATTGTAAATCTGGTAGTTTAAAAATATTGCCACATTTACTCATTGGAAGCTACATGGGCTCTAGAATAGCTTCATGATTATAAAAATTGTTAGGGTAAATAATTCATTGTTCTACTGTGGCCACCATACCAAAGCAGGGCTCGAATTAATCCGACGGCCGACCGAACGGGCCAATGGCCGTCGTGCCCCTATCAATCGCGACTGCCCTGAAAATCCACCAGACCGTCGGCAGTCACCTGCCTTGCCCGTTGTGTAATTGCCTGTCGTGCCCTTAATCTACTGGCCCCTAGTTTCGTTTTAGTAATCAACATAACACGTGCGCGTGCGTGGCCTGTAAAGTTGTCAATGATGAGCTAAAAACCGATAGTCGCAGCGAGGGAATAATAACAAGCATCCGGATAATTATTTGCTCCTGAATAGCGGGCATGTAAAATGTCTTGTTACTGTAACTTCCATTAGCAGAGGTGGGTACATGGGTCGGTATGTGTTGACGGTGTTAAGCTTACATGGGGGCAATATTGTTTTTGTACCATTAAAAGCAAAGACTGATGTTGATGTACTAATTTGTTATATTTTTATTTTATTGTTACAATAAGTGGCCTTGGTGCCCTTCTAAATTTTTGAAGAGTTCCTTGGTGCCGTCTTCTATTTTAAGCAGAAAAATTCAAGGCGATTTCTCCCATGCCCTAAAATTGCCCTTGCCCCTTCTCCGCGCTTATTCGAGCACCTGTACCAAAGTGTAATCCTCATTTTATTGCCATAACTAGTTTCTAGATTAGGTAAGGGATCTCTATAGCTCCAAGAAACGGTATTGGCTAGGGTTAGAATACGTTTCAAACCTTGGGCTGGCAGCTACACGTAGTTGCCTTATTGCCAAGTATCGGCCAAAGAAAATAACACATGTGATATACCAAATGAAATCAGTAACAGTCACTGGCTTCTTGTAACCATCAGTGCGCAGGCGATGCGCTGGAGTACTTACG